CACTAAACAGACTGCATGCTTTGCTTTGATTTGTATGTGCTTTTATTTTGGTCTGGTTTCGCTTTTTTGTCTTGCTGATTTTCTTTTTCAGTTTGCTTGTCTGCTTTGATTTGTTATTTGTTGTTGTTTTCCCTGCTCTATTTTTGTTTGGAGACAGAGACAGCTCAAGCACGAAGTTGGGTACATAGGAATGGGGGGGGGGATGGATCTGAGGGGAGTTGAGGAAGGGAAAAGATGTGCTCAAAGTTTATTTCAAGAAAAAAGGCTTATGAGATAAAAGAAAATTAAAAATAAAGGAATAATATCCAGCACAGGACTCCAGTGATGGGTCTCTGTCTAATATCACCTCTTCCCTTCGAGTGCTTCAGAAGATTATTCGAGTGTGTACTCTGTAATCATGCCGCTCTCATCCAATTAATCCATGAGAACGAATGTGATGCTCACGGTGAACAATACATCTAAGTGCATGTGTGGACCAAACACAGCCAAGACAGTAAATGTAGAAATACCATACAATAAAAAGATCAGAGTCCCTGTTCTATGTCTACTTTCAATAGAGAGACACATGTTTCTTCATCATTCAATTACCAAGGGATGCTACAAAAATAGAGGGGGGGGGAGCTAAAGATGATCAAGAACTAAAAGATAAAGATTACAACCGCTTGAGAAATTCTGGGCAGACTTTACAAAGGAAATACAATTCAGCAGGCATCAAAAGCCGATAGATGTCTTTCCTTTCCCTTTTTCTTTTCTTTTCTTTTCTGCAGAAGAATAAAATGCACATGGTCTATAGGAGGTGCAAAAGCATGCTGGGAAAGCTTAAATCCCTTTGAGCAGGGCTTGTCAAAGAAACGTGCATGTGTGTGTGTGTGTGTGTGTGTGTGTGTGTGTGTGTGTGTGTGTGCGTGCGTGTGTGTATGTGCGCGTGAGAAAAACACTGTTCCAACTGACTCAGTCCACCCAATATAATCAAAGTAGCAATCACCAAATTTCCCTCATTTCCTCATAAAGCAGGATTCTAACATGAAATCATAATTTACAGTCTTGCCATGATACTGTTGCCAGACAGTTTTCCACCCTTGACCCTTGATGACTTTTGACACAATCAGGAGACACATCATTCCATTTCCACTTCTCCGGGGACTGGTAGCCAGCTCTGTTTAACAGAACACATAAAAATCTCAGAAGTCCCAACGTGTGGCATTTTCCACCTTGCCAGTTCAGAGGTGTATTAGAAGGCCAGGAAACCTGTAATTGGTCAGATGTAACACACTGGACTCAGAATCTGCCAAACTTTTAATTTAGAAGAAACCATTGAAGATAGCCCTGGGATTTGGCTCGATGATTAAGCCATTCCACCCAAGTCTGCATCTCACCTAATCATCAAGAAGGAAGCTATAAAAGTCTTACTTGAAGGAAATTTCAAAATTTAGGGCTGTAACACGCAAGCCTTTTCATTCTTTTCAACATGTTTCTGTGAAGCGAAATCTTTTAAAGCAGCATGCTAAAATGTATTTTGGGAAAGAAAGCCTGAAGTTCTCTGAATTGAAAAATCTAACTGAACAAGACACATGCTCTCTATATCCAGTATAGATATACTGGGTAGGCACATATAGATATACTGGGTAGGCACATATAGATACACTAGCTAGGCACATCAGCACTATGTATAGAAATATGGCCATTTCTGTCTGACCATTTAGGCAGATACAGGCCTTTTTGAGAGTGTTCTTTGAAAAATCTCAAGTTCAATACATCTGTGGGTATGCTGTATGGAAATCTCAGAAGTTCTAAATGTCTTCTTTTACACGTTTGTTTCCCTGCTTCTGTACTTGTAGTTTTGGAGATATCTCCTCCTTCAAATGAAAACAGTTCTGCCATAGTTTCTGCCTGGAATCACTTGGCATTTTCTTCTCTCGGCATTTATATTCTTTCGATAACCATAAATGCTGTATGTTATGTTACCATCTCTACCAAAGAAAACCATTCTTTCATAACATTCTTCGGACTTTTCATCATACCAATTTGTTTTTCATCATAGGACTGATGGTCCAATGCTGACCACCCAAAGCTATAAGTGAGTTAACGGAAGCTTTCATACTTCTCACTGTAGCCATTTACAGAGTGCCTCTTAATGTAGATGCAGGGAAATATTTTCCCCCATAAGACTGTGTTTCTATGGATGGAAATTCAATGAATTCTTCAAAGGGACGAGATGAGGGAAATGGGGTATGAGAAGAGAGGACGTCAAGGCGTGCTGCTGATATTGTGTAGCGTAGCTGAGAAACACTACACATCCTAACACCCCAAAAGTGACACTTGCTCAACAATGTTCATAGCTGCATTATTAGTAATATCCAGAACCTGGAAACAACCTAGACGCCCCTCAACCAAAGAATGGATAAAGAAAATATGATAATTTACATAACGGAGTATTATTCAACTGTAAGAAACAATGACAGCATGAAATCTGGAGGCAAATGGATAGAACTGGAAAAGACCATCCTGAGTAAGGTAACCCAGACTCAGAAAGACAAACGGGGCCCGTACTCACTCATAAGTGGATATCACACGTAAAGCAAAGGATAACCAGACTACAATCCTCAGCTCCAGAGAAGCCAGGTAACAAGGAAGACCCTAAGAGGGACACATGGATTTCCGTGGGAAGGGAACTTAGATGAAATGTCCTTGGTAAACTGTATGAGCTGTACTTGCACCACAGACCTGTTACTCATCTGCTTTATCATCAAAGCCTCTGTTCTTGCCTTAGAGCAGGATACTGGTTCCTAGCATTTGTGTGCACACAGGAAAAGCCCAACTCCTACGGTTATATGATGCAAATTATTACCCTGCTGCACAGCCTTTAACAGCCCTACACTATGCAGGATGCCCCTGGTCCATGTTCTTCTCCAGAAGTCTTTGAAACAAACTGATTTTTCATTGTTGTCAACACAGAACAAACTTTATTTTAACTTGATAGTTAATCTTTTCTTTCTTCTTTTTTTCTTTTTTATTTCATTTTACATTCTAACCACAGTTCTTCCTATCATCCCTCCTCCCATTCCCCACATTCCACCCTGGATCCACTCCTCCTAAAGGTGAGTTCACAAAGCCTTGCACATTAAGTTGGGGTAGGACCAAGCCCCCTTTCCGTTGCATTAAGGCTGAGCATGGCATTCCCTTATAGGAAATGGGCTCCAACAAGCCAGCTCATGCATCCAGGATAGATCCTGGTCCTACTGCCAGGGGTCCCTCAGTAGCCCAACTTCACAGCTGTCTCCCGCATATGGAGGGCCGAGCTCGGTCCCATGGAGGCTCCTCAGCTGTTGGTCTAGAGTTCATGAGTTTCCATAAGCTTGGTTCAGCTGTCTCTGGATTTCTCCATCATGACCCTGTTCTCCCTTGCTCATGTGTTCCCTCCTCCCTCTCTGACTGGAGTCCTGGAGGTCAGCCTGTGTGGGTTTGAGCTAGTTCCTCCAAAATATATAATGAACACATCAAAATATAAAATAATCCAATCAGTGGGTACAGGCAACGTTAGGGGTAAATGCCTTCAAAGTGTCAATTTCCTTCAGTCAGCTAAGAATGTATAATGAAAAGTTTGCCAGAGCCATTCTTCTTAATGTTTTTGTGCTTGTTTGTTTGTTTGTTTGTCTGTCTGTCTGTTTGTTTGTTTCAGACAGCATCTATTATGAAGCCCTGACCGTCCTGGAGCTTTCTTTGTAGATCAGGCTAGTCTTGAACTCACATAGATCCATCCACCTCTGCCTCCAAGTGCTGAGATTGAAGGTGTGTACCATTATGCCAGACTTTAGAGTCATCTTTTTTTTTTTTTTTTAATCAGCTTTATGGTGCAGGTTGACCATGTCCAAGAATTTCTGTATGTCATTTGAGCTCCATGAACTTGAGCACAGCTTGCCCTCAGATTTATCTCTGATATTTTCTTCCCAAGCAGTGGCTTTAAAATGAGTATGTTTAGAAATGTGTTTGCCCACAAAATGCTTTACTTTCTCATATGAATGCGTAGAGCATCCCCAGTACAATCACAATGCTTGAGGACAACATTGCTTTGTACCTGCTGCAGGTAATAACTTTCTCCACATTTTTATTTCTTGAAATTAATCATCCTTTCTTTATCCTTACCAACATTAGAATCCACCTTATTTGAACCCCCAAGTCATCACAAGTTGTGCCTACCATTTGTTGTTATTGTTTTGTTTGTGTGTTTGTTTTGCACATATGGTAATCCTAGGTTTGTGGGGTTTTTTTGTTTTTCTTTTGTTTGTTTGTTTTGTTTTTGAAGAATACTTGCAACAGAAGTCCTAAGTAGAGATTTTGTTTTGGGTTTTTGTTTGTTTGTTTTTCTTAATTTCTTCAAGGTCTAAGAATTGCCAAATTCCCCAAAAGTCTGTAAGTCTCTTATAGACTGCCTTTTGCTAGAAGGAATTCAAAAAGTGATTGACTGATTATTATGTAAATAGCATTCTGTCTGCCTGTTTGCCTGCACACCAGAAGAGGGAGTCAGATCTCATTATAGAAGGTTGTGAACTGCAATGTGATTGCTGGGGATTGAACACAGGACTTCTAGAAGAGCAGTCAATGCTCTCAACCCCTGAGTTCTCTAGCCTTGTAAAACACAAAATGTTTCATCTGGCCATAACTTGATAAAAATGGGCCTTAATCCTACTCCCAGCCAGTTTGATGCTAACAGTGGTTTTGCGGAACATATTAATCATACAAACGTTACTATTTAGACAACATGAATAGGTAACAATACAATCGAGGTTCTCCATTTATGATTGTCTGGCTGATACACGGAGGGTCACTACACCTCATGTCTTATAGGACTGACCTAGAGGTTTGCTTTTCTCCCTTGTCTGCTTAGGTCTGTAACAATATCATTATCACTGATGAACTGATTCACTGGTTCAGAATCAGTACTTCACGCTACTCCCATAGGAAAAAGATCAGTTTCTGAAGACTGAAAGGCAGATGCTTACTGTTAAAGCGAGCAGTTTCCCGTAGGTGAGGTGAGCAGGGATGTGGTCAGTCTTGGATCTCAATGATTCCGTGTACCAATGCTCAGCTTCTGGAAGCTTGCTTAGCCGCATGTATGCTTCACCTGGAGAGAGAATCACCAAAGTCACATGGGTGCTGCAATTCTCGCATGTCCGTGCACACTAAGACAATGAGCAGAAGAGCTTGGAATTTCAGCAGTGGGGACTCATCAGTCATAAAGGACACATATCTGACATGACTTCAACAGCATGATCTATACATACATAATGGGCCACGCTAGAGAGAAATGTTGTGAAACGTGACAATCTCAGCATGATCACAGATCCCCATATGGGGGAAGGGGTCCTCATTCTCACAAGCTGCCCTCTGACCTCCGTATGCACACGAAAACAAATGCAAGAAAAAGAGAAGGAAAAAAAAAAAAAAAGGAAGTTATATAGAATAGCTTTGGGTTTTAAACATGAAAATCCCAAATACAGATCATTCACCACCATTAAAACTGTAGTGGGTATGTGTTTAGGAGCTTTTGTGGAGTCGCCTACATTAAACACTGCTGCTAGGCCAGGTACAACCCTGCAATCTTAGCACTGAGGAGGCCGAGGCAGGAGGATTACAAATTAGAGGTTATGCTGGGTTACAGCAAGAATTTCTCTCAACAAAATCTATGTGGCTAGTGTTCAGTTTTCTTCAGCATTTTTAATGCTGATAAAAGTGAATAAAATTTACCAGTGTCATTTGGAAAAATCAATTAAAACATGACGATTAACAAGTGAGGCCACTTTTTTACACTCACAACATAAATGCAGGGCCTTTCAGGCGTTAGCTTTTATTTTTCAGCTACTAAAAGTCATAGCTAACAACCAAGCAGGAAGGGGGGAAAAGGATAAATAAATCTAAAACTACTAAGTGGTTTTCTTATTATCATCTCTAGCTCCTTTATGCTAGAGTATAAAAAATACTCAATAGGTAGAAAAATTGCACTTTAAGATAACTTACATAATTAAGTTAAATAATATAACTTTAATAGTAATGGCAAACGTAGATGCTGACCAGTTTCAGAGAACAGGAGAGACTAGTAACTTACTTTATTACCAAGCACACTTTTACAATGACCCATAATCATATCACCATTTCCATTGAGAAGCACAGTCAGGGGCTCCCTTAAACGTGTTAGCCACATCAGTTATGCGTCTTTAATTCAAGAGAAGAACTCCACTCCTTATGAAAAAGAAACACGTTCTTTCCTTCTCCACCCTGCTGTTTGGTGGCTTTTTTGCACACTGCTTTCATGACAAATGGGTCTCATAAATTGAATTGGCTCTTGACCTTTGAATGCCCTTTAGGTGGTTGGTTATTAAAAAGCCTTGCCGTCAAGCAATATGCAAAGACTGTGTGCATGTACCTAATCCTATCTGTTTCCAGTTTTAACAGCAGTTCTTAAAACCAACTAGGATGCAAGTGATGACTTGGAAATGCTTGAGGTTTGGAACCATGAAGTTTTAACATGCTGTTATTTGAGATTGACGAGATTAAGTCATGTGACACCCACACCAGAGCCTAGATTAGAAGATGTTGGAATGTTTTCAGTAGTAGTGGCATCTATAAAGGATTTTGCTGCAGTTTCTCAAGCTTCTGAAACAATGACCTTGTTTTTTAAGCTTCAGGAAGGCTGTTTCTCTCTCTCTGTGTGTAGCCTATTCTGGACTGGAACCAACGTTCTCCTAGCTCTGTTCTCCCAAGTGCTGGGATTACAGTTTGTGTGCCATCGAGCAGGCTGGCAAATGTCTAAACTACATTCACTTGGTCCTTAGTCTACACATCCGAGCATGGACAATTCTCTTCAAAGTTAGTCTCATCAAGGACTCTTAACCAACTGGCCATGGCAGGTCTGTAGACAAAACCTACTCTGCAGTTTTAAGGATCCCTCTCACTGACCATAAAAGAATGCCACTACTGGGCTTTACAGCTTAAAGAAACTAAAAACAGAGAAGTAAAATAAATATACAACTGGGAAATTCACACTTAAACCTAGGACTACCTGCCCTCCACAGCTAGTACCGGATAAGCAAACTTGGGAGAAAACAAACCCTTCTTGTTAATGGAAAATTATTTTCTATCTGTAATACATTAGCCAGCAGGTTCATTCCCTTGCCTTAGGCTCATGAATTGAATTAAAAGAATAAAGATGAGCAATAATAAACTATGGTGAACTTAAAAATGCTTCTTCATAGCCAGGTGTGGTGGTGCATGCCTTTTAGCCCAACACTTAGAAGCCGGAGGCAGGCGATCACTGTGAGTTCAGGCCAGCCTGTTCTACAGAGTGAGTCCCTGGACAGGCTGAGAAATCCTGTCTCAAAAAACCAAAAGAAAAGAGAAGAAAAGGAAAGAAAAAGAAAACAGCTTCTTTATACACATAGGTTATTTAATTCTTAACAGAGAAATGTATGGCATATAAGGAACACTTGGTCTACTACAGTAAACTCGAACATACACACACATGCCCACACATGCAGTGTCTACAGCCGATGTTAAAAAAAAATAAATAAATAAAAAAAGATGCAAAACCTAAATGCAAGAAAATTAAGGATTAAATTAGATGTGTTCAAATATAGTAACTCAATTAACACTTATGCAACAAACAAATACTTGCTACATCATTGGCAGGGGCAAGGTTACAGTTTTACAGTTTCCTCTCAAATGAACATGGATATTTATGGAGGAACACCTCATAGGTGATGAATGATTAGTAAAGGACAATTAGTAATTATAGCCCAGGCGAGAGAGATAGCTTAGCTCTTAAAAGAACTCACTGTTCTTGCAAAGGGTCTGGGTTCAAGTTCAACCACCAAAAACTGTCTATAACTCCAGTCCCAGGGGACCCACTACAAGAACAAGGTACACAGACATACATGCAGACATAGCACACATACACATAAAATGACAAAAATAAATACATTATTAATTAAGTAATCTTAGTGGCTGAAAAGCCCAACAGCCAATGTTTTCTATTTCATCAAGCAAGCAGTCACGTTTATTACTTATTGACTGCCTCCTATGAATGTCTTCAGATTACAGCAGCCTTATACTTAACACCAGTCTTGTTTTTACAAAGGTGACTATGACTCAGGCCTTAAAGAACATGGTCAAGGATTTTTTGTTTTTAAATAGTACCAAACTCAGAGGAAAAGGTAAGAGTTTTCTCTGCTTTGGGCTAGACAGAACACACAGGTTAACAGTTCTTACTGCTCTTCCAGAGGAGCAACCTTCAGTGCTAAGCACCCATGGTGAGTGACTCACAAATGCCTATAACTCCATTTCCAGAGAATTCAGTCCCTGCTGTGTGTACCTGTGAGCATGTGTGCACACACGTGTACACACATACACACATACACATATACACGCACGATAAAGCTTAAAAAAAAATCCTCTCTCTTCCCCCTATAACCATGGTATACAAATTGGATAAAAAAAAAAAAAAAAAAAAAAAAAAAAAAAAAGAAAGTAACTACAAATGAGATAAAATAACTGTGAAAAGCACCAGGAGAGGATTTTCCCTAGTAAGGGAGTGGTCCATGCATACGCTTGTAAGCTTGATAGAAATGTTGAAATTATAAGAACAGCTGAAAGACAATGGCCCCAAGAAAGAACGTTCAGGAAATTCAATAGAGAAATAGAGGTGGTAGAAAACGGACTGGTTACAGGAGGGATGAGTCATATTCTTTAGACCTATAAATTTTAACTGACAACAATGGGGGAAAATTGTTTATAGTGCCCAGGAGAAAAGAAGCAACAATGACTATTTTCCTTCTCATTAAAAAAAGAAAAGAAAAAACAAACAAGCAACCAAACAATGACATAATAGAGGAACTGAGAATAAGATTGTCTGTGTGGTGTACTGATGGAGTTCATTACCCACACTTCCTTCTGATTCCACTGCAGACAGAAGGGATTTAGATGTCTCTAGGCTGGCTTCAGAAAGAGATAAGACAGTCTCATATGTAGAACAGATAATGTCACTCCTCCTAACCAGCCTCATTTCTAAACAACCCAGGCAAAGTCTAACTTCTTAAGGTAGACAAATTGGGTTATCAGTGACGTCACGGTCTAGAGCTCACCGATTCCTGTTTCAAATTATTTGGCAACTGCTACTTACAAGTAAGGATTCCAGGAAGAAGGTGGATAAATGATTAAGATTCTGGCCAGGCTCTTGCCGATACTGTACAACTCTTGTGGTCACTTGTAACAAAAGTGATTTCCTATTGTTCAACACCAATGTAATTATTAAAGGCCTTTAAAAAAAATTTGCTATCTTACAGATAAACTTAGGTTACCCAGTGTAGACTACAATAACCCTTTACATAATATAGTGTTAGCATGTGTAATCCACCTAAGTCTAGATCTCTGATTCCAAATCATACCCAACTAACATCTGATGAATAATCGTGTTATATATCAATTTGGAGCTAAGTGTTACTTTTTTTTTTTTTTTTTTTTTTTTTTTTTTTTTTTGCTTTGCTATGTCAGAGCAAGGAAAATTCCAAGAAATTCCTTTTATTTATTTATTTATTTATTTATTTATTTATTATTTATTTATTTATTTATTTATTTCTTCTCAGAATCTGTGATGAAATAGAATTATATGCCATCAGTGGAAACTACCTGACAAGATTAGGTGGTATTCATTTTCAGGGTTTTTATTTCATTTGTTAATGTGTGTGTGTGTGTGTGTGTGTGTGTGTGTGTGTGTGTGTGTGTGGTGCTTGGATGCATCTCTTCATACCATGACATTGGCTCCCCTGGAAATGCAATGACAGTTCATTTTGAGGAGCTATGTGGGTGCTGGGAATTGAACCCAGGTCCTCTGGAAGAATAGCCAGTGTTTTTAACCACTGAGACATCTTACCAGCTCTGATTTTTCAGTTTTTACTTCAATGTCAGAAGTAACAATAGAAGGGAAGGAAATCTGGTTATCATTTTTAATGTATTTATGCCACATCTTAACTGTCAATCTTCATGACTGGTGTTTGTGACTATTTTCATCTGAACTTTCCCCCAAACTTATTCATATAAAAACAACATAGTCTAAATGACCCAGATAGGATA